GTAACCAAAATTGTATAATTCTAATATACCTTCAGTAGGATATGCACATACATTTGTATCTATATGCTCATAGGACCTTTATAATAGCTTAACTGTAAGAATTATTATTTTTTGAATTACAACCCAGGATCCTCTTACGCTATTGATTGGGTGAAATATCAAATTATATATTTATAAACTAAATGACAAAGACTTCTGTGCAATTGTTAAATAAATAAGCGGACTAGAGGTTAAGTTTTGCCTATTAAATAATTGTTCAAACATAAACGAACTTTATAATTGCTAAATGTATTATAAAGTCCCCCAATAAACTTACTTTACTGCCCTCACTAAAATCGTAAATAGTTAAACATTTTATGACGTTTTTAACACCACGCCGCGAGCCCCAATGGACAGAAGTGGGAAGTGGGAATACATATATTCGTGTCTAAATTCTGTAACCTGCGTGACTGTAACAATTTATATTTCCCGGGATCCATTGCTACGAATTTTCTTGCTTAAGTCAATACTAGAAAAGATATTTAACCATTGAGCTATCTAGGCAAAAAAAAACAATAATAATTAGTGTAGTTTAATTGTTTGAAATTAACATTTTAAAGGCGATAACCAAAACATAAGATTCGTTTGTGTTCAAATATTATCAATGTTTGTCGACTCATTGGTATAATTGTAGCAATGTATGCCGCATAATCAACGAATTGTACGCTAGATTAATCTTATATCGCAAGAAAACCGTTGCTCTAAGAATCTTAGGCCCCTGACAACACGATATTATCAAATATATTGTCCCTCGAAGCGAATCATCATCATTGAGAGCAATTTAAGATTTCATGCCAAATTAGTGCGCAACAAATTTCACTCGTGCGCAGCGGTAAATAACATGTTTCAAATTACTACTGTTAAACACGGTTTATACTATAGATAATGCTGAGTGAATTATCACAAAAGGCTTTTTTCTTCTACTAGCCATTTAATATCCAGATTTATATTACTTAAAACCCGTTAAGTTTAGAAAAGCTATAGTAGTGTAGTATGTGGTAGTGAAATCCCGATTCCCCTCATGGGACGAACACACTTCTATATCCGTTTCGCTGATCGGTTTTAATTATAGGCAAGTAGCTCATCGGACCTCTGTGCTCTCTCCGGCCGAAATTGTTTCCGCGAGATCGAACCCAGGTCCTGTCGCGCTTAACGCAATGATAAGTAATACGATTAACCATTTAGCTACAGAAACGGTCGGTAGAGAGAGAAGTTTAAGAAAAGGTATGCAATTATATATACATCTGTTGGACGTGGTAAAAATCAAACTCCGACCCGTTAGTTACAAGTTATACAAGTCATTTTAAACCGTTAAAGTGTTTTATTTAAATATACAATGCTACATTTGCATCAGTGCGACTATCAAAAAGCAAATAACGCACTACTGTATTAAAATTACTTGAAGCGCAGAACTTTATTTAAGTGGTTACCTTTTGATTGATACCTTAGCAACCTCAAGACATATTTTTCTTTGTTTAGTCTTACCTCCGTTTGAGTGAAAGTATCTTATTTAGAATGTAACTGATAAAATAATTGTAATTATGTATACTTACTGTCACCGCACCCTCCGCAAGGCATTTTCAGCAATTTAAATGAATACAAAACCACAAGGAACCAAGAGAACGCTTCCAACACGATTGTCTGAGTGCAGAGAATGCAATGCTTGTTAATTTATACATGCATCTATATTATACATTAGGTTTATCGACGTCGAATCGCGATCGGATACTTTGTACGTAGTTTATTTTTATTTTTTTAAGAGAACAGAAAGTTTTCATAAGAAAATTTGTTTAAAAAAAGTACAGATATTACTCAGAGAAAAAATAAAGATCTTATCTTACAGTATTACTTATTAAACAATAATCTACATCAATAATCCACTGATCACAGTATAGAATGTCGTTCTTTTTAATATTGTTTTATATAAATAATTCATTGTTCTTTCGCCTTCAAAAAAAAAATCTTTATCTATTTTTATATTTAAAAGAAGTAGTACATCTACTTAAAGTAGTAAAAAAGCAGTTGTTATTAAATTAACGTAATAGGGGTAAGATTATTAAATTAACATAACACAAAACTTTCGTATTATTTTGTAGGTATCTAAGCGTTTTATCGCACAAACATTTTGCTACGGATATTTGCTAAAGAATGCATGTCTTTTTTATATAATTAAAATTCGTACAACATTATATTAAGCTCATTTATAAATAAAAATTATACTTAATTAACTATGTCAGACTTAAGTAACTATAACAGCACAAATATATTTTATACAACAATGAATCGTCCTATCTATATATATTTAAATAAGTGATAACTAATTTAAAGAAATATTTATAATAATAAAAAAAAAATCGTCTTATAAAGTTAAATGCTGGTAGCATATCCGATCACAAAGGACTATAACCAAAATGTGTGTTACGCCACAAAACATACATCATACTACAATGTCCATTGCTTGCTATATATGTTGCTAATTTATAGAGTATCGAACTAAAGCGGTTATGTGTTACAACATCAGCAAAGACATCGACGTCCTTAATTAATGCTTGAAGCTTGGTGTAATTGGAGCCGTGTGATTTGTTTTGCAGTTTGCACTCAGTACATTTGTTGTTGCATTAAGTGGAAACGACCAGGGAATGTTAACAATAAAAGCAATCATAATATAAGTGTCCTAGATTAGATTTAACTAATATTAAAAGAGTGGTACTGTTACTCTATAAACAGCAACTTAGTTAGCAAAGGGAGTATTAGTATGCTATTGAGGTCGTGGGTTTGAGTCCGACCTCTGTCGACCAATTTTTAAATTTCGAATTACATAACTCTTGATGTTAAATTTTAAATAAATACAAATACACACGAAAGCTGATTCCGTTACTAGATTAGTAATCTGTACTAATATTATAAAGTGAAGAGTTTGTTTGTTTGCTCGTTTGAACGTGCTAATCTCAGGAACTTGTATGTTGGTTAGACACACAAGTTCCTGAAATCATCTTTAAGGGCTTCCTAAAGAATTATTCTTTCATAGGTATCTTTTTAAGAATAATTCTTTCATATCTTCTCTCACAAGAACCGTTTTTATGAAAATGCAGACTTTGTCGAATGTTTCATACTAAGTTGGTAACAATTATTGATGTTTGTTACTGTTTTACGATCAAACGGTTTGTTTGGTAAATACAAATTTGGGTCTGTGACTCAAAAAGATTAAATGTAAAAACAACTTTTTTATTTGTAATCTTCGCAAAAGCAAATATATTAAAATTAGCTATAAAACAAAACTAAACATAGAACTCCTGGTTAAAAATTAACAGCATCAAAGATTTAACTCTGCATGTAATTGCTATTTTTAAAAATCAGGCACGGACACTTTGTCCACGATATTTGCTAGACAAAATAACTATGGTCACATATATAAAAATTAGTATAAAAAAAATATAAATAAAATGAAATACAAAAACTTGACAGTGTCGTATTTTTTATTGTCTACGATCGAAGTGTAGTTCGATGTTCTGTTCTTTTTGTTCTCTAGTAGTAGTAGTTTTTGTTCTCTAAGTAACTAAGTAAAATATATTTCTTAACTTAAATAACTTTTCATGATAGAGAAGCATGAGGTCAACTCGAAGGAATGTGAAACACCTCAGCAGTATAACATCTAAACATGATAATCATATGAGTATCATAATCGTTCGTTGTCGACCTATTTTGAAAATCGGCTATATTAGGAAATCCACAGACTCAAATCGAAATGCGAATAAACTTGACGGCTTTTTTCATCTGTAGACGGTGATTCATGGCCCGACGGAATTTCGATATTCCTACCACCGATTTAATATCCACATTCCCAGAAGAAGATCAACATGTTTCAAGTTATTTATTAATGGATGGAATAATGTTGGACCCGGTGGGGATCGAACCATTACACAAACCAGCTCGTACTAAACTAAAATAAAATTATATTAAAATTAAACAATTTTATTCTAAGTTTAAACATTATTATTCTTAGTTACTAAATTCGTACAAAACATTTTACAATTCAATACTGTCTATAGTTTACGCGAGTAGTACACATTTAAATAAAACACTTTAACGGTTTAAAACGCGATATATTAGTTAAACTTATTTGAAAATGATTTTTTAATTCGGCCCGACGTTTCGGATGCTTTGCTGCAGCCTTGGTCACGAGGAGACTCTTTCAAATAAGTTTAACTAATATATCGCGTTTTAAACCATTAGAGTGTTTTATTTAAATTTCACAATCCACTTAGGAGCCCTTACCTTTTACGATATTAAAAAACAATCGTTACATCCGTTTCAGTTCTAGGCGTGACTAATTACAACTGAAAAGGAAGTAGTAGGCAACAAAATTCTGACACTCAAGACACGATACAATATTGTATCATACAATGTCGTTCTCTAGTTTATCTAAAACTTTATTATCAATTTTCAGAATGTTATAAAATATGAGTATCGAAAAACAATTCTTATCATAATCATACCTGATAACTTAACGCCAAAGTCATTTTTGGGTAAATAATTTACCTGTTGTAATAGAGTAGTTTTTAGGGCTTTTTTATTGCTTAGGAGTTGACCTATCGATCGAAGATGTCTTAATCGCTCTTTAGGATTTTATTCTCTTTAATCAGGGTAACAATTCTTCCAGAGAGGAACGAAATATTGATTGAAGTTAGAAATTTTATTAGTTTAAGTTACTAAACGTGCACAAGTAATTATATGTGCTGCACTGTTTCTACATTGTGGATTAAACAAAGAATTTGGCACACCCAACGTCCCTATTTACTCATATCTTATCATATCTACAGATAACGCCATATCATTGGGCACACATTGTACCCACACCAGTCACGGACTACAATACTAACCCACCTGTCGTAGCTGCAAAAAAATTATCAATGTGATAACGAGAATCCCCATAATATGAAGTTGTGAAAGTGAAAAAAAATATGGCAAACTTTAATTTAGTATTAATAGTTTTAGCAATTAGTGCCAGTGCTTTCGCTTTTGACAATGTTCTTAGTGAAACGGAGAGAACGATTAGTGAAGATGTCATTGACGAAGCTCCTGCCGCAGAAGTAGAAGACAAATCGGAAAGTCCACTCGAAGAAGATGCAGTAGAAGTTATAGTAGATTCCTTAGTCGAGAAGAGCGGGAAATATCAAGTATTGGAGGATGAATTGGTTGGTGACGTGCCGAATAATTTGGAAGCTGTCAATTTGAACGATATTCAAATTGAGAGGCAGATGCAAATACCCAGCACAACTTCACAAACGAATACAGAGTATGGTAAGGTGTACTATATTAGCAAAGTACTGATACGAGTGTGATGACTCAGAAGGATAATGGATGAATCATGTAAATAGAATAGGATATTACGTGTTCATTGAAGATCATAGCTAATTACAGTCATTATGATAGAACAAATTCATGTTATTCATGTTTAATCTAAATCATTAGATAATATAAGTTCTTTCTTTCTAAAATCGGATATCTAAATAATTGAAATATTTGACGATTGTATGGAAAGTCAAAGAAATAAGTAGGTTCATTTCAAAGAAAATTAAATGAGAAATGACCCAAAAAATTTGATCCTTGAATGAAGTGGGCGATGAAATCATTCTTTTAACCGTTATAAATTTTATAACAGGTACTTCTTTATCAGCCCTGATAGGCCCTTATCATCACCTAATTAGCTTTGCCGTGTGTTAACTTACGTTTTTAAATAGTGAGTTCTTTTAGTGTGTTGGATATATTAAGAATGAACCTTAATAGTTAGGGTATCTAGATGAATGTTGTGGTAGCCTAAATATCGTGTTAGGTTTATTTTTACCGCATTCTTTACCAGTATCGATTTTATTTGCTTTTATTGGTAATTTGACATGCTTTCGTGATTAGATTTCACAATGGATGGCAATTTTCACGTTTGTACCTTTAATAATTAAAGTAGATGTGAGGAAAATCGACATTATTTGTACTGGTGTAATTATTATGAAATAAAAAATTCACAATTTCATTAACAATATTTTTAATGCGCTGAAAAATTCCTATCAGATTTCCGGGAACGCTTAGCACCGTCGTATTATTCATAGCTTTATCTTTTTCAAGAGTCACTTAGATATGGTGACACAGAGTCATTATGCAAACAATTTGAATGTTTTAGATCTAGTTATTATAATATGTTACTTGTCAACATTGTAAAGGCTTGTGAACCTTTTAAGTAGTATTAAACATAACATACGTTAAACGTTCTTTTAAAATATATTAAAATACTCGTCTTTCGTCACTCTAAATGTATTATAGTTTTCAAATAACTTTCATAATTACCTATACTAATATTACGAAGCTGAAGAGTTTCTTTGTTTGCACGCGCTAATCTCCGAAACAGTAGTTTCGAACTGAAAAAATATTTTTGCATTTGTTGAATCATTCATGGAGGAAGACTATAAAAAAATATCGGTGTGCAAGAAGAAGAAGAAGAAGCGAAGAAACAGAGCGTAATAGGAAAAAAACGGGGAAAACTATTAAGCTTTGAGTGTTTCCATCACATGATCTTTAAAAACGCCCCAAAAATATGGAAAAATAAATTATCTAAAATCTTTTAAGATTAGCTTGCAAGTACCGTTTTTGTAGTGGTAAAATTTCGTCGCAATACTTCCTATGCAAAAATTTGCCAGGTTAGCTAGTTAAAAAAACGATTAACGCTTAGTTATTTTAGTAACCAATAAGTAGATATGGTGCTTACTCCTGCAAACAAAGACAGCATTATGTTGAATCGTTAACCTATCGTTGTTATCGGTGACTGGCTTTGATATTTCACTCTATCAAGGAATTGTTTGTTCTAATATTATACACGATAAGTTTTTTTAAATAAAACTACTTGCATAGTTAGTTAGTACTAAAGTCAACGTAAATGTCTGTAATGTAAATAGCTTAAAATTATTTCTGATATGTCTGACACTGATTTGAACTTCAATTCCAGCTCATATCGATGGCAGAGTTCTACCCTCCACAAGTTACCAAAACAATGGCCAGCCCTATGTCATCACGCCACAAAGGCTGCAACAGATCCGAGGCAACTTTATGTATTGGTTCTATGACCAAGGCGGTAACGAAAACATTGGAGATTACCAGCGGGACATACACACGTCTACCCCTCAAATTCACAAGAATTTCAATTTCCAATTGCCCTTCTTCGGCTTTCGATTCAACTACACGAGAGTAAGTCTCAAACTCACAATTGTCTTATTAATTTAATAAATTAAACAAACTACATTTTTGTAAGATTGGTGTTGTCGACATAATTGGGACCTACCACATTGTGTCGTTGCTCTATCATATATTCTGTCCACAATGATTCTTAAATTTATAAGGCTAATTTTGTCTTGATTTGCTTCAAACAAAAACATATTACACATTGTTTTTTTTAGGTTAATGACGAAATAAATTGATTTTCAGTTATCTATGAACGGCTACATCTACTTCAGTGACCCGCCAGACCACTACACGTATCCTTTGTCTTTCCCCATCAAAGATTGGCCCACTGTCCACGATCCTTCTTTTATCGGAATCTTCTTCAGCAAATGTCGAATTGGGAGTCAAAGGCCAGAAGACCCAGATCAGAGACGGCCGGGAGTTTACTTCCGTATGGATAGGGATTTGCAGGTAACCCATAGGTCTTCAGAATCGGAATTTATCCAGAGAAGATAATAGGGAGAAGGAATAAATATCAACTAATACTTTGTATTTTCAGACCCGAACTGACCAACTTGGCGTGGAAATGCGCGAGCGTGTAACTTGGGACATTCGCCAAGGTGTCATTGGATCAGAAAGTTTCTTCCCCAAACACACTATCACCATAACTTGGAAGAACATGTCTTTTGCTGGTGGTATCGACAACTCTCTCTTTGTGGTAATACATTAAGAAGCCTTATTATGTATGTATCTATATTTGTATTAAATCATGAAATATATTAAAATGATCCTCTGCTTTCTAGACAAACACATTCCAAATGATCTTGGCGACCGACGAAGTCTTCACATACGCCATTTTTAATTATTTAGAAATTAATTGGAGTTCTCATACGGAAGCCGGTGGTGATACTACGACAGGAGAAGGTGGTGTACCAGCTTACGTAAGTGTATTTTTGGCAATATTTTATCGTTTAATTTTGGATTTTTAGATGAAAGTAATTTTTTCAATTTCAGATTGGTTTTAACGCTGGCAACGGAACGCGAAGCTACGACTATAAGCCGTATTCTCAAGCATCTGTTTTACGAGATTTAACTGGTAGAGGATGGGCTAACGGCTTTCCAGGACGACATATATTTAGAATAGATGAAAATATACTAATGGGAACGTGTAATAAGGATATCGGTTAGTTATAAATGATTTTTATTAAAACTTTTAACTGTTAACTTTTTACAGCCTATAAACCTTTAGTAAGCGTTCTTTGAATACCACTTACCTTTCTCCTTACCCCTTACTTTCATTGCATGGTACCTTCCATATAGGATCTTCTTAGTAATACTATTTCCTCTTACAGACGGTGCAAATTTACCCCTCATGTTCGCCCCCGAGTCTGGTAACATGCTTGGTGGTACAGTCGTCAATATAACTGGGCCATGTTTCAACCCGGATGATAGAATTACTTGTAGATTCGATACAGAATCAGTTTCTGGCGCTGTAGTCGATGTCAATCGAGCTATTTGTATTCAGCCTAGAATTTATCACAATGGTTACGCGCGATTTGAAATTTCCATAAACAACGAACCTTTTAAATGGAAAGGAAAATTCTTCGTCGGTAAGTTTATAATAAAACCACGTTATAAATTTATTTGAAATATACCAGAGTATAACGCTTTGGATTATGTTCAGAAACGCCTGCGACCGCACACGAAAAAATCTTCTTCCCCGACAATGCTGTACACGAAAGATATCCTCCAGAAATTCGTATAACTTGGAACAGATACAACTTGACCAGTAATCTGAATGTTCAGCTCAAGATAAGTCTGTGGGGTTACAAAGAAGTTACTATTCGACCACAGCTTGAGTACATCGATATGATCGAAGCGGGAGTAGCAAATACTGGAGAATACGTCATTAATCCCCAAAACTTCAGGAATCGTGATAATATTATGCACAACGATATGCAGTTTGGTTTTCTGCAAATTAACTTGACTACACCAGAAGTTTTTAAGGGAGTTTCTATTTCTCCGTAAGTATAAGGATAAGTTACGTTCCGAATCATCTGCGTATATCACGTAGGGCATAGGGCAGACTCGTTATTGTGCATTTCTTACTGATAACTTTTAATTTAAAACACTTGCCGTGAGCCGTGGTCACAGGGCGGGACAAGCATCCGAAATATCGGGCCGTAGTTAAAATGATTTTGAAATAAATTGAAATGTGTACTACTCGCGTCAACTACAGATTATATTTTAGATGATCATACTTCTATGCTCTGTCCAACCGAACCTGGACGAGCTTATTATTAAATATTCCATTTGTTTTCAGAATTCTCTGGAGTAGACCAATTCCTCTCGGTTGGTACTTCGCCCCGCAATGGGAGAGAATGTACGGGCAGAGATGGTCCAATTCTATGTGTAATGATTGGCTACGAACTGATCGTTTCTTAAAGAATTTCGCTTCACAAGTGTGGGTGTGTCCGTGTACACTGGAACATGCACTTCTTGACAAAGGTCGTTTCTTACCAGATCCCAGTTGTGACAAAGATACGAATCCTACTTGTAGGTACCATTGGGGCGCTATTCACTGTGTTAGGAGTGCTTCGCCAAGGTAAAGTGTCGTCTTTTTAAAAGAACAATTCTTATGTAGGTCTGACGATAAATATTTACTGACTTTATGGCGTCTAACGCTCACTTATGGCGAACTTGACAATGCATAATGATTACAACACTTTTACATAGAAATTAACATATTATTTTAAAAGTCAGAGACAAAGATAATCTTCAATTCTTCTTCTTAATTCATGTAACTAGGTACACTTATGAACGTCACAAAACTAAATGATCATTAAGTTAATTAATAATATTACTTAAAGTAGGTTTATTGAACTGGCATCTGTAAGTGTACAATTTTTAAAGCCGACTAATATTACAGCCCCGAAGGATCTGGTCAACAGTGCTGCTATGACAAAAATAATTTCCTAATGTTGTCCTATGATCAAATGTGGGGATCACGACCACATAGATCGCATGACTTCGGCTTTACTCCTTACAATGAGGCTAATAAGGTATATACATCGCTATTTTACTTAGTATAATGTAACAATTGATTTGTGTAATTGGTCAAAAATAATGTCTCTTTTTAGGTGCCATCTTTATCTCATTGGTTCCACGATATGATTCCATTCTACCAATGTTGTATGTGGCAAGAAGAACAAGCGGTTGGCTGTGAGACATTCAGGTTTTAGAATTTATTTACCTTTATTAATATTTTGGGTTTAGTCATGTTAGATAACTGAAAAATTATTTTCAGATTTGAGCGTCGTCCTTCCCAAGATTGTGTTGCATACCAATCTCCGGGGGTGGCGGGCATCTTCGGAGATCCACACATTGTAACCTTTGATGATCTGCAATATACTTTTAACGGAAAAGGTCGGTAATCGTTCAAAAACGCGCAAGAAGATAATATCAAAAAGTTTCGGAATTTTCATCTCTACAGGTTTTTTATTCGTCGATTTTGTCAGTCTGTATGTTCTACTCTTTGCCTTTGAATGTAGTACCTATTTAGTCATGTGCCACGGATAAAATAGTGTATAGAAATTAATAAGAATTTCATACATCATTTTCCAAAAGTAGTAAGAATAGCTATAGGATCACATAGTAGGGTTTAAGATATGAAAACTTAATTTCAACAAGAGTCTAATATTTTCAGGTGAATACGTGTTGGTAAGGGTGGATCACCCACAACTAAAACTGGACGTACAAGGGCGATTTGAACAAGTACCAAGAAACATTTACGGAGACGTGAATGCCACGCACATCACGTCTGTCGTATCTGCTTCTAACAATTCAGTTCCCATTGAGGTAAGTAAGTGTCACAATAAATATATAAAGTGTGATATTTGTCGCGAGATATTTCTAAGTTAATTTTTTGAATAGGTACGTTTAAGACCGCAGCATTCGCAATGGCGATACAGATTGGATGTTTTCGCTGACGGAAAACGAATATTCTTCGATCGACCCGCCCTCAGGGTTCAGTACTTCCCAGGTATGCAGTCAATCATAAATCGTTGAATTGAATTCCGTGATAGTCAGATACGCAAAACGTTAACGCATGATACTGTCTATAGTTTACGCGAGTTGTACATATTTAAATAAAACACTGTGACGGTTTAAAACGTCTCTTATAATCTAATCTTAGTTACACTTATTTGAAAATGATGAGTCTCCCCGTGACCACGGCTGCTGCAAAGCGTCCGAAACGTCGCGGTCGGGCCGAAGTTAAAAATCATTTTCAGATAAGTTTAACTAATATATCGCGTTTTAAACTAGTTTTAAACAAGCATAGGGTTCACTTTATGCTAGGTAAAATACACCAGCCATATATCATGTAACCAAGATGCACTGTCGACCTATTTTAGCTTTGGACATTCTGAAATCCCGGGACGGGGATATGAATCCCCGTCCCTGGATTTCCGAATATACTGACCCGGACGCAATTGTCGAACACCCATTCAATAACCAGATTTCCAGAGGAAGTTCATCATGGTTCAGAAAAAAATTAAATTGAATAGGACGGAACGAGCCATTACACCAACGTGTGATGCATGTCGGTTGCCGATATAGCAGCAAAAGTATACAAAACGCATTGAAATAAAACAATTTGACGGTTTTGAACGCGATATAGATAAAACTTATTTAAAAAATATTTTAACTACGGCCCGACGCTTCGGATGCTTTTCAACCGTGGTCACTTGGAGCCTAAAGATGGAGGGTGTCTGTGACATCAAAGTAAAATGTGTTTTAGTTAAATATGTACTAGAAGCTAAACTACTGACAGTATTGGAATAAAATAGGGTATTTAAATAAAAATATATGTTTTTTTTTAGTTAAACCGATTGTGCGCTTGCGCTTGGCCAGTTATCTTCTTGTACACAAACAGCAAGTAATAAAACTATTATGATTTCAGGTGTGACAGTCTACCAACCAATGTACATTTTGAACCAGTCTGAGATCGTCATCATGTTCTCATCAGGAGCTGGAGTAGAGGTAGTCGAGAATAAGGGTTACATGTCAGCTAGAGTATATTTACCTTGGAATTATATGGTAAGACTCCGATTAAAGATTTGTATGAGAAATAGGCTTTGATAACAAGGGCGTTTTCTTACGTTTATTCTTCTTTCAGAATCAAACAAGAGGCTTATTCGGGAATTGGTCTTTAGATGTAAACGACGATTTTGTTAGACCGGACGGAACATTAGCTACAGTGGACTTGAACAATTTCCAAACCGCACATCGAGATTTTGCACAGTTTTGTAAGTTTTTTTTTTACTAAATTAAAAAAAAAAAAAAACAAAAGTACTCTGTTTAATATTATTAAACATTTACACATTATATAGCAAAAATTATATTCACTCATTATCTATACTAATATATAAAGCTGAAGAGTTTGTTTGTTTGAACGCGCTAATCCCAGAAACTACGGGTTCGAATTGAAAAATTATTTTTGTGTTGGTTAAAGTATTTATCGAGGAAGGCTATACGCTATAAAACATCGCCTTGTGACTAATATAAGAGAAGATACAGCGAGATATCTGAAGAAAATTGGGAAAATTATTCATTATTATGGGTTTCCAAGGCGTACCTACGCTGCAAAAACTGTTCAAGATACCCAAAAATATGTATTAGAGAATGATTCCTCTTTAAGTGGTCTAAAAAAGTCCACGACGCTATATTATGTCTATCTCTTAAGATTATCTTGCAAGAACGACGGGAAGGGACGTGACCGACGTTGTGGGTAAAAACGAATTTGAATGCTCGAAATAACTATTCTACGCGAATGAAGTCGCTGGCTCAGCTAGTTAATAATATTTCTCTTATTGCATTAAACATAGCCATTCATTACAATGAACAAAAATATCATTTATGTAATAAATTAATGACATTTTTGATTTTACACATGAAAACTTTAAAAATTAAAAAGCGATTTTAGATTGAAAAACACGAACACGGTAGCTCAATTGGTTAGAGCAACAACACGTATTTAAAAAAAAAATCTATAATCGATTTTTTATTTACATACCTACATATTATGCTGCTTTCGAGGCATGTCAGGACTGAAGCTATGTAAAAATTAATTAGATTCATTTATGCCGTTTATATAGAATTAAATGTTTTTAGGGCGACTTAGTGATCGAGAGCAGAAGAATATCGGCGTCGCAATGTTTACACGGGAATATGGTCGAACGGCAGCCTACTATAACGACGATCAATTTATACCGAACTTCATAAAGGAACCTGCTAATTTCTTGCCGGCTAATAGATCTCAAGATGTGACTAGAGCTACTGAAATTTGTCAGGAATCCTATCAGTGCAGATATGATTATGGAATGACTCTTAACAGGGACATGGCTGAATTTACTAAGAACTATTTGGCTTCTATAGTAAGTTTTTACTAGCATCCTTTTATAATTGTACTCTCGGTAAGAATGCTGCCAAAATCACTTGAAATTTCAAGGTGACTTTACGAAAACAAATGATATATGTGCTCAATCCTCAATGACACTATCAAATGCAAGTACGTATAAGCTATAAGAACTTGTATATAAAACGTGGGAAGCTGTTATTGTCATTTAAATTATATAGGAGTATAATTGTCGACAATATCGCAGTACTTATGATTCATATTCTTAAATCTGTTTCTAAGAATTACTTAGGTTGAAAGAATAGTACGTTATATAGTATTTTTTGTAGCGTTTGGCTATGAAGTAATGTGGTCTTGGTCATTCATAAAAGTTGGAAACGACAATATTTAAACTTACTAGACATTTAACGGTAAATAGTCGCGTGTATCCTCTGAATATATCAAAAGATATCCATTGTTCTTTTAATTATGGCGCGTCTTCAAGGCTTTTATACTTAAGAATAATGAATTTTAACCCAGTCTCTTGGAGGTTCTTGGTGTGTAAATTGCATGGATCCAAATGTTATTTTTTTGGTGTCATATAAGTTTTATGGTAACTTCCTTTCCAGACCAATATTAAGGAGACTAATGCGCGAAGGGTAATCAGTTGTGGTATTTTGGAAACACCGCGTTTCGGCCGAAAGAGCAATTTCTTCTTCACGCCGGGAACAAGGGTATGATCAAAAATATATAGTTTTTATTGATGTCGCTTTCCTTTTAAATAGTTATTTAGTAATGCATAGTGTTGAAAATCATGCGATTGAATTTATAATTTATTAAATAGGTAAACTTCGAATGCAATCAAAACTTTATACTGACGGGAGACAAACGTCGGGTTTGCGAAGCGGACGGAAGGTGGAACCTCCCCGACTACGGCTACACTGAATGTTTACGTACGTATTTATTAAATCTTTACATTTACAATACGAAATATAAAATGACTTGTAATAATTAATTTTGTTAATGGAATATGAAAATCAAATGAAATTTCTATACCAGGTAACCAGGAGTATTCGCAGCAAACGTTATTCCTTACCTGGGGCATCATAGTGGCTATTATTGTACCGTTGGCTCTTATCATTTGTCTCTGTTGGTTCTGGTGCTACCACAAACCAAAAACAGAAGGCAAAGAAGTCTTCCGTTTCGAGAATATTCCGCGATCAAAATCGGCTTCGCGACTTAGTCTTAGATCTCCATCAATGGGAAACATCACGGATACGATGAAATCGTCTACTTTACGTAGTCAATACTCTGATAAACCAAAAGCGCCTATAACCCCAACGGAGGAAACTCCAATTACGGCTACTTCAGCTGTCACGAGATCCGCACCAGCCCCACCTAATGAGCCCCAAGATGGTGAAACGTCAGGCATTGGCTATACTGACTCTAATAAAAGCGATTCCAACAAATCCGATAAACCATCTAGTCTGAAAAAACGCCGCGGTTACGATAAAACTTATAGAACACATGAACCTCTACCTAATGCTCCGCAGGTAGAGTTTCCAGAAAAGCCTTGGGATTTATCTGAAGAAGACTTACTCTCAATAACGTCCCCCTCTGACTCCGAATCGAACCGCGATTCTACTTTAACTCGTCCAGCGAAGGATATAGAATTCTTAAAACCCCGTCAAACTGGTAGACGTTTGCTACCCAGTGAATCTGGGTATTCTACAAAGGAGTCGGAAGATCCGTATGCCCCAAAATATGATGGCCAAGTGAGCCCTGTTTCCTCACATTATTCCCCAACATATTCTGAAATTTACTCGCCACCTATCAGTCCAACGTCTGACATCAGTCCTAGAAATACCTACAATAATCCTGGTTTACCGGAGCCCCCAAAAAGCGCTCCAGCTAACGAAATAAAGACCTTTACTCTTCCGCCCCAAAGAGGCAAATCCGTCGAAACGTTAATTGATCCACCGGCTTCTGAAATGCCCATATTCAGTAGCAAATCCACTATGGTATAGTTGGTTGTACAACACTTTCTCATCCCACTGAAGTATCATAATTTTTAAGTTTATTTTAGAAATGAGTATTAGACTGCCAAGTAATGACAATATTCGGAGAAGACTTTGGCTTAGATAAGATATAATTAAATGTTGAAGCACGATTTAGTTTAATAATGCACCTAATATAATGTGAAACCGCGATGTGATGTTTCCTAGTGATGTCGTTAATGTTTATAAATTTTATGAAATTGTAAAGTGGATGCTGAATAAATAGTTTTACACGTTTTTCTATCACGAAGAGAGAATTTCTGTTCCAACGGACGGTAGAATAGTGTCACTGTGGCCGCATTTAGATATTATTCATTAAAATCATATAAGAAAGCAAGGTTGATCAAGTTTCGGTGGAATAGAAATTTTCTCGGTCATGTGATTGTTTTTTATTATTCCTCATACTTGATACTTGCTTTCTTATCGTTGTTATCATAAAGTACACAGAGAAAAATTAGGGCAACCATTCAGGTGAGTAACACTTTTTATCCAATTTAAGATAAAATCGTTTTGTCAAACAAGTCATTGTAAGAAATTACGCACTTTAGCAAACATTTTGTAGTACCTAGACTTTATCTCAGTTTAATATGTACTAACACAAATTGTGGTACAACATAATATAGTTTCAGTTATAAATGAGACAACTAATATACAACATAGTAAAAATAGTAAACATCTTTCAACTTTAACAAGATTAAAAAAATATTTTTGATAATCAAATGTTTATACATTTATTATTTAATAGTATATTAGCTACTCAATGGTTTTATGAATCAGTTACATACTATATCTGAGACTCGCTTGAATACGTTTACAGGCAACCAGGAGTACTCTCAGCGTACATTGGGTGCAACATGGGGCATCATCAGCGCTGTGATGGTACCAATTGCCGTCATCATGATTTGCATTGGATGGAGGATTCTATTAAGAAGGAAACAGGAGGAAAAAGAAGAGGCAAATTACCTAACAAAGTAAGAAACGTTATTTAAAACCTCTACATACTTTTTGACAGCACAGTCTGTAATTTTTCATTTGCGCAAATAGTACACATGTTAATAACACCCTTTTACCGTTTTAAACCCTGTATTATAAGACTGATTAAAGGTTTTGACCCTGCCAGCTCCGAAACGTAGGGGGTGGTTTTAAATGATAGGAAATAAATGCCGACGGACCCTCGAACTGATTAAAACATCTGATGATATATTCATAATACAAACTACCACTATTTTTCATGGGACATGTGTTTTCGTCCACAATTTTTTTTATCAGCAGTATGTATACTTTCAGGGGACGCCAAATAGACCCGGATGATTCTGTTAAAATAAACTCTGATGATGATTCCATTCCTTACAAGAAGGATGTAACGGAGGATAGTCCTGAGCCCACGGAACCTGTTCAAATTGGTTTTACGTATGGACAACAGGGCTACAGGCAAGACCCTCAGGGGTATTCGCAGGAGGTGCCCCAAGGTTATCCCCAGGAACCAGCTCAAGGTTATGCCCAGAACTCCCCACAAGATTATTCGCAAGAAGCTCCTCAAGGTTACCCTCAAGATTCTCAACGATACCCTCAAAGTACACAACCACAGTTATACAGTGCGAATAGACCTCAGCCATTTGTCCAAAACCCACAACAACCGGGGAGTCAATGGAGCGGGGAGACCGAAATTAATTAATATTAAGTCTGTTTTAATTATACCTTATTAATTTACCATAAAGCTCTAAATTCATAAGAAGCAATATTCTATAAATCTTTGACATAAACGCATCTACCGAATTTAAATTTTAATAGACAACATAAACATATCTTATGCCTTTTTATATTTTATTGTTTTAGACGTTAGTTAAAATACTTTTATTTATCCAGATTAAATTAAAGCGGGTATTTTCCGAATTACATTAGGAAAAATGTAACAGCGTGGAGTATACTTTTATTGTTTTGTCGAAGAAAGATACACATAAAACTACTATTAGTACCTATTATTTTTTAATGGATTCACATTAGGTTATTGGACGCAACGTATGTGTAGACCTAACGAGGTACCTAATATTTACTATACTAATAATACTTTGGTTAATCTATTTTATTTTTTACTAGAACTTAAGAAAGCTAGTTTGACTTAGATAATTTTCTATTACTATTTCTTGTGCTCTATCTAATAATGTACCCACCTTTTTATTATATAATTGTTTGGTAACCGTTAACTTCGTATTGAAATCATGACAAGACGGAAAAAAATGTCAAGAGTAAGTATATACGATATAGCATTTAGGATAAAAAATTATGATTTATGAAAGGTAATTTTCATACACAATTTTTAATTAGCCTTTACTTTGTGTGAACAATAAATGATTTAATAAAGATTTTTTTTATTTCAATTGGCTCTAAGTATTTTTTTATAAATTAAATACAATAATTAAATACAAGTATAAAGTACATAATATTTGTATTCTATGTATTAATAGGAAATTTAATGACTAAAGAAGGCAAATGGGATAACTTAGAAAAATGACACACAAGTGGTTGATGGTGGATGTTGAGTTAATTAATACACAATTTTATAATTTTTTCGAGTATTAAATAATAAATTATAGTCTGTCACATATAGGTCTAATGTATTAATATGTAAGTATAACCTGTAATACAATTGCTAAAACTTTGACATTCTAAAGTTGTCGTGACTCGTGATAATTCCTTTTGACAGCAAACTCGAACTGTCAAATTAGATGTCGGCAGTGTAATGTTTGTATTTTTATTGTTATTTATGTCACAACAGCAATGTTAAATTCGGCTTTTTTAGGATTATAATACAGCGCTTAAATTGAAAATGATTTCTAATCGCCAACACTAAAGTACGAACTATACAGATTAAGAAGCCTATAAAAATAGTCCTATCTAAAAGTCCATAGCCGTAGAAAATTTTGTGTTCTTCATTAGGTAGAGAAAATTATTGATTTTGCTAATTAAAATGAGCCTTAACGTGATTTAATTTGATTGTTTTTAATAATTCGCTTTACAGTTGTACACTACACATATAAAGCCAAGTTAATGCTTACTTTATACTATTTCTTTTCCAGAAATTAAAATGTATTTAGTTTCTCTAAGAAAACATAACGCAGCAAATTAGAGTACTAAAAGTTCAAAATAAATGATAAAAACAAAGTAGAAAATTTATTCTCACAATGGTATTCAAAAAATGAATTTTTCATCTAAAAATGTTTATTCCTGCTTATTTCTTCGACCCTGGCTAGGGGTACCCCTAGGATTATGGATTGCAGTGTCTGTCATTTACTATTGGTGGTTAATATCAAGAATTAATATCCTAGAAACACAGAATGTGGTTTTCAAAAAGCAGCTGCAAATTTCTCACAATGTTATGCGACAAATGTCTGCTGAAACCGAAATAACATACAGTGTGCCTGAGGTAAATCTTGTTACATCATGAAACATTTTTTTACTTGGCTTGTAATAAATTTAAGTGTACATGCATTGTTACATAATAGAGATTTCTTATATGTATGTAAGTCAATAACTAAGTAAAAGAATTTATATTTATATGATCGGTGTAGAGTCTGTATCTGTATAATATAATCAGTATAATATGCCTTTACAAGTGTTCTTTTGAAAAGCGACCCTAATAATTATTAGATATTGGATTTATCTTTTTTTGTTTTGAGATAAATTTATTATTAATTAAAATAAAATGTGTCTATTCTAATAGTATTTTTTCCTAACCTAATTCTTTCCATTGTATTTACAAGTACTTTACAGTTCTTGCATATTTAAATCACATTAATTTTTGTAAAAAAATAACAAACTATTGGGAATATAGTAACTAAATAAAAAACAAAAGCACAATTTAATAATTTTTACTTATTTTTTTTATATACTTACATTTTTTTGATAAATAGTTTAGTTTCTCCGTTACGCATTTTGAGATACAAACTAATTTACATTTTTTTAACTTTGTTTATACTGTTTGTATTTTGTTTGTGTACCTTATGAATAAAATAAAATAAAATAAAATATGAAGAACATGCAGTAGTAGCTTTTGTTTGTTTTGATAATGACTTATATTCTTTCACTGATATTTTATTTTAACCTTTACAGATTCCTGATGTAGCTGGTACTATCTGTGAAACAGTACACATAGCTTTAGTCTGTATGGGAAAGTGTTCAAGAAATATAACTCCCATGCTGAAATCTCTCTTACACCATCGGCAGAATCCTTTGCACTTCCATGTGATTGTAGACAACATGTCATCACATACAATTGGAACTCTGTTTGACTCATGGGACCTTCCTGACGGTGAGAAGAATATTATTTCAATGATATGGTCATAGACGTAAAGATCATGTACCAGGAAAATTAATTTAAAAAATTTACAAAAGCGGTACTTCAAATCATGTTATAGTCAATCTGCCTCTGTTTTCAGTTTTCCCTTATATTTTTCCTTGTGACTTATGTATTAATTTCAGTAAAGTACACTTGCTACAATGCCCAAAGCCGTCTTGCTGAAGTCCGTTGGATACCAAACAGTCACTACTCAGGAATTTATGCCTTGGTCAAGCTTTTATTTCCTAGTATCTTGCCTTTATCGTTAAGACAAGTCATTGTTCTTGACTCCGATTTGACTTTTTTAAGCAATGTAGCTGAGCTGTGGACTATGTTTAGGAACATGACTGATGATCAGGTAAGGTTATATTAGATATCCGAGTATCGAAAGCCAAAATAGGTCGATAGCACATCTTGTGAAGATGTTATATGACTGGGGTACTTCACCTGCCGTCAAGTAAACCCCGTGCTTGTACATTCTCCCTATTTGTTAAAAAAAAGTTCTTGACTTTGAATTTAACAATATATTTGTATTAAATCTTCTGAATATACTTCAAGAAATAGATATTTTTAACAAATCCTAACTTTAACTACCCTATATATTCAACACTAATGTGTGTTTGAAACACCAAACATTTTTATCACAATTTGCTAGGTTTTAAACCCAGGAGTTTTTTTTATTCCATTACCATTTTGTTGTATTAATTATAGTAAATATGTACATAAATAACGTTCTGTTGTTAGTATACTGAATTCTGATGTAATATATTGTATATTGAAGTTACATGAAACTTAACTATTTTCATACTTTCTTAATGTATAATATCTCTAATGGAGGCGCTTCTGTAGTTTATAGGCCTTGTTGAAAACGAGAGTAATTGGTACTATGACAAAACGAAGCGCTGGCCTGCCCTCGGTCGAGGGTATAACACTGGAGTGATGCTATTGGATTTACATAAGCTACGAACGATAACAGATTGGACATTTGTATGGCATGACACTATCAATGAGAATCTTGCGCAACTAAAGCAGACTACACTGGCTGATCAAGTAAGTAACCTTACGTATTATAGAGATAGTTTAGGACTGTCTATTGTTTTGTTAGTTTTAGACTCAGGTTCAAAAAACTCTTTTAAACTACACTTATACATTTGCACAATTAAAGGACTAATAACACCTTGAAGTTATTACTTTAAGAAACAAAAATATTTAAAAAAAATGTTTTAAAGTTTTGTACTTTTCCATCTTTCACATATTCAATTATTTCTTACAGGATGTTATAAATGCTATAATCAAGAAAAATCCAAGTTTCGTCTTCAATATAAGCTGTCAGTACAATGTGCAGATGTCTATGAAGACTTTAGCTAAAAGCTGTTATGGTGAAGATGTCAATAATGTCAAGGTGGGTTGACAAAACAATAAAGAGAATGTATACATACAATGCTAAAGAGGTTCTGCGTTTGAATCAATAAAAATAGAGAAACATGATATAGTGTTTAAGTCTGCCTTGGGAAAAAACCAAGCTTTGTAGATTAGTGTGAGAGGTTTTGGGTCCTTGTAGCCTTCGGGGAAATACTACGAGTTTTAAGCCTATTCGCCTATAGATAAAACGAATGCAGATATTTGTCTACCCTCATTCCCTTCATAGAAAGGGGGCACTGTTCTGTGACTACCTGAAATCTACTAAGTTCTTCTACTTCATAATTTCAGGTAATTCACTGGAACTCTCCAAGCAAATACAATGTGAGAATCAGAGATTCAGAATACTTTAAAAATATTCACCTTTCCTATGTTAATTTTGATGGTAATCTGTTGAGAGAAAAACTACATAGATGCTCGCCGAACGAAGTTGTTACTTATAAAGTGAGTTATTTTTTATTTATTTACCTTTATTAATTATAAACACCACAGGATTTGTTATATAAATACAAAAACTTATACGCTGCCTTATAAGTTACGTATTTTAATTAAAGTATTAAGGTTTGTTGACTAAAAGCAACCAAAATGTCAAGTCATATTTAAATATATTATAACTTATTTTGCCAATGCCAAATTATATAACGTGAAATATATTAAACAATTTGAACGGTTAATTTTGTAATTTTTAATGTAGGACACGGTAGTTCAATTTGTTTGAGCAACAGCATGAAATTGTATTTTAGGTACATATTATCTTTATAAGGGTTCTTTATATTTTAGATGAACCACTCGGATCTCTGTCTAAGTTTTCGTGCGGCCCAGCGAGTAAAACTTCGCACACATCTCTACTACATGGATTATAGTTATTCTAGTGTCGATGGTTTCGACGTTACTCTGGTACTCCAATTGTCTATGGATCGCTTGCAATTCTTGGAGCGGTTGGTTAAGTACTGGGATGGTATGTTGAAATATTTTTTCGATTATCTTCTTCTTTCTGGAAATTAAATAATGAATTAAAATTACAGGGCCTTTAAGTGCTGCCATCTATCTGTCAGATTGTGAAGTGACAAAACTAGAGAGCTTTATACGCGACTGGTCAGATACGCTTAGCTTTAGACGAAATATTGGTTACCACCTCGTTTTCAAACATGATTCGGTAAGTGTCCACTATCTTATTATTTTTATAAAAAACCCAAATGTATCTCTTTCTAAAGTTCACATCAACAATTTTTTTTAGCTAGTTATTCAATATTTTCGTGTTATGTCTCTTTTATTACAATTATAGTTTACATAGGCATAAGAAGGACAGCATATTATTATTAATAAGTTAGTTTCTACTCTCAAATACAATACTTTTAACAACGCGACATATATAAGTTTACTTATTTTAACTATGTCCCGGTGTTTTGGATGTTATGGCCCCCTGTATCCGTTTTACACTGTTAAAACTGATATAATTGTGTACAATACCTAATTTCTTCTTCTCACAGGTACATTACCCAGTGAACTACTTACGCAACGTAGCATTAGAGAATGTGAACACGCCCTATGTGTTTCTTATGGACGCGGACTTCGTGCCTATGGCGGGGCTGTACGCACATTTGCGGGCTGCTATTAAACTTATTAACCCGTATCCGCAGAAAAAGGTGAGTTAATGAGTATAAGACTCCAAAATGGAACAGGTCTGATTTGTTTCCTACGTATGCATCATGACCGTCTCCGTAGCTTAGTGATGGTAAGCATTACATTAATAGTATTAGAGGTCGTAGGTTGACTTCAAAGGAAAAAATAAATCGTTCAGGTGGGGCAGGGCACATAAGTCTAAGCTAATCAACTGCCCCATGAAATTGCTGTACTTTACAACTTATTATTTTCTTTTAAATACTGTCTATAGTTTACGCGAGTAGCACACATTTAAATAAAACACTTTAACGCCGTGCTGCAAAGCATCCGAAACGTCGGGCCGAAGTTAAAAATCATTTTCAAATAAGTTTAACTAATATATCGCGTTTTAAACCGTTAAAGTGTTTTATTTAAATATTTTCTTTTACTTTCGTTTAAAGGAAAAAAAATTCTTTGTAAAAAGCAGATCAGTTTTTCAGGTAAGCAAATACCTAGTACCAAATTTTCTGCTTAGTCCAAATTTCGAGTCTTAAATCGTAATAATATAAATTAAGTATATTAAAACTAATGATGGAATAGGTGCTTCAGTTTTAAGTGAGTAGTAAATAAATAATTATCTAGCTTCAATGTAATGTGTACAACTAAAACCACTGGACTCTTTCAGTGTCTTGTAGTGCCTGCGTTCGAAACGCAGAGATATAGAGCTTCCGTGCCGCGGTACAAGGGGGCGTTACTGGCGAGATTAGCGTCCCACGGACGGGGCGACGTGGGACCGTTCCGTGCCAGGGAGTGGCCCCGGGGACATCGCGCTACCAACTATACGAGATGGGCAAACGCCTCTGCGCCGTATGAGGTAAAACTATCATATCAATATGTTGAACTACTTTGGACGGTAATTTCATATTATAAACATAAAAAGTATTCTGAAAACACGCTAATATAAGGAACTAATGCTTTGATTAGAATTTGTTTTGTTTTAGGTTTAAGATTACGCTGCGAAAACGGTTTAAGAAACCAAAAAATATGTATAAAGGAGGAAGAGTATATATCGTTTGTGGTTATCAAAATAGATCGAAATTAATGCGTTATTACCAATTATTTGTTAGTTTTGTATCAACATAAGTTAATCTCTGTAACAAAACAATGTTTTCCTGATCAGCAAGTCTTTAATAATTTTATGGGCTTATGAACTCAAAAGTTTATTTGAGTCTAAGCATTGCACTTAAAAACAGCATGTCTTTTCAGGTCGAATGGCAATCAGACTACGAACCATATTTAGTAGTACATCGTTCTGTGCCCAAGTACGACACAAGATTTTCTGGCTTCGGTTGGAATAAGGTAATTAGGTTTATTCTACAATATCAATACTAATATTTTAAATCTGAATATTTGGTTACACCATAAATGAAAGAAAGCTTTAGGCTATCAAACATCAGACTGCGATTAATAGAAGCGAATAACAGAGGGAAATGTGGAAAAAACGAGGAAAATTATTCATCTTTATTGGTTTCCGTTGCGTTTTCTACAAAAACGGTTAACTAAACTATAACTGAATTATTCTTCTTTAAATGACCTAAAATTATGTCGTAAGAACGATGGTTGGCGGACGATGTCGTTTTAATTTATAAAGCAGCACACCTTGTTGTTTATCAATATATAAAACAATGTCAGTCTATATGACGCTTGCATGGTAGAATAATATAATTCTTTGCCCCTTTTTGTTTCCTTTATAGACCAACGTATATCCGTTTCCAGGTATCCCACAGCGTGGAGTTAAAGGCACAAGGATATAGATTGGTAGTTCTACCAGATGCCTTCGTAGTGCACACGCCCCACGCCCCGTCTCCAGACATCACCGCATTTCGAGCAGACCCGCACTATCGAATGTAAGTTTAAAAGAAGTATTTTTGACACGGATTGGACCCTGCAACCGTTTCGAAGCGCATGCAATAGAAGCCTTGAAAGAGGAATAATTGTCAATATTTTCTAGTATTTCTTCGCTCCTACTGGTCACAGCGACTCATAGGAGAGGACAGAGGAGATTACAGAATACTAATTCGTTTGTGTTTAACTAGATCAAAACACAAGTTACATTGTGCGAAATATTTTCTTTTTCTATCTAGTTATATAGTGATTGAAGGCGATCATTTAAACGGTTTAAAACGCGAAATGTATTAGGTAACTTATTTACAATTTATTTTAACTACAGCCTAACGTTTTGGATGAGTTCCCTCGAGGACTAATACAAGTCACGATTTTAACGATTAAATGCGTACGAGTCGCTTAAACTACAGACTTTACTTATTTAAAAAGCTACATACATATATGTATTTATTTTTGACCGAAAAGTAAGATTGCTCTTTGTACGTTTCCTTAATTTTTTTGGAAAGCAACATTTATTTCTAATATTTTTATGATTGTTCCAGCTGCTTAGCCCTGCTCAAGCAAGAGTTCTTGGAAGACCTTCGGAAACGATACAACGTTACATTTGATACAGCAAAAGATTCACCGTATATGGGTCAAGCGAAAAGCTTGCTACTCCAACAGAAAAATGACTGAACATTCTTCTCTTATACTAGTCACTGTGAGAATGATACCCATCTAATGAAATTTGTAATTACACTCATTCTTCAAGATTACTGTCTATCGAAGGCGTAGCGACAATTTTTTGATCAGATAAATATACAAATGCCCCGTTTGGCGTAGTGGTTAGTGCAGACGTCTGGAAGTCATGAGACTTATGGCATATGGTTCGAATCCTGGGTCAGCTGTAATGTTAGTTCTTTGTTGGGAATTGGAATAAGAGACAAGTGGGAATAAGTTACATCTACACTTTTGACGGTTTAAAACTCGAAATATATTTGTTAACCTATTTTTAATATATTTTATCTATGGCCCGATGTTTCGGATGCTTTGCAGCAGCAGCAGTTGCGGGGTGACAACTACATTTAGCGTTTTAAACCGTTAAGTGTTTTATTTAAATGTTGCTACTCGCGTAATCTACTACATGTAAATGTTTTGTTGTAAATAAATTACAGATTGTACTTTGATAGATTGTAATCGTTAGATTATAAACGAAGCGATACGGTCGCAGTCAGTGTACAGTATACAATTTTGTAATATTTATTTATGTGTGTACAAACACATCGAAGGGTCAGAGATCAGATAATCATGGGGTTCTTTTGATAGGAATGATGATGAATACCCCAGCCATCCAACATCTGAACGAAATGGGCTGTCAACCTATTTAGGCCTCGAAATCCACAGACTGAAACCGAAACACAATTACAATCCACGGCTTTTTTAACTATGGACGGTAGTTCGCGGACCGGATGGAATTTCGATATTCCTACCACCCATTTAATATCCAGACTTCCAGAAGTCCAACATATTTCGGTCAAATTGTTAATTGACTGGAAACATATTGGACCAAGTCAATAAAAAGTTGCCATAAGTTGGCTATGAATAAAAATTGCCCAAAAGTAAGTATTTGTTAAATCGTGTAAGGCTTTCACGGCCATCGTTCAGCATATCATTGTCTTTCTGGCTGTTCCGCCGATGTGAGCGAGAAGAGGTTCTCGACGTTCCGCTATCACGTGTGGACGGCATCATCAGGAGATGTTAGCTCCTCGATTTCTTCGAGCAAAGACGAAACGTCGAGAACCTCTTCTAGCTCACATAGGCCGAACAGCCCGAAAGACAATGATATGCTAAGTATTTGTTGTTAACCGTGTACACGTTTACTTATTTTTAATATATGTATTATAAAGCTTGGGGCAAATTTTGCGAAAGAAACTCATTTTACGCTTTAAGTGACTATGTTATCCAATTTATTGTTTATTTAAACTTATTTTTGTGTTCATCATTATTTTAAAAGTACAATTTTAAGAAAGGCTTGCCATAGATTTTATTTTCGCATGCCTATATTTTTACACGAGTTTACATTATTTTGAGGCACTGCATTTATATTTTCTTTATTATAATCCTAAAGATACAAATGTTCCTTTTAGATCTTAGATTGTCTTAATACTCATTATTATCGTACATATTTCTTACCAAAGCTCGTCACGCGTACCTAAAATTATACACTTTTAGTTTTACTTCATTATAATTAACCATGTATTATTTTAAATTATCAATAAATATCTTCGAATACTAGATATTTCATTTTTCAATAAATCTCTTGTTTCATTTTCGTCTCATTAGTTAGGAAACTATTCGTCTTCGGATTTTCTTTTGATATTAACATCCATAGAAGCACTGTAATCTGAAAGTCTAATTCTTGTATGTCCTTTTTCAGTGTGTCGATAGCCTTTTTTGCAGTAACTAAGGGTGCGTTGTCGTTCATCGACGAGCCCTTAGATTCCGTTCTCTGTTTGACGTTCTCCACTTTAGTTGTCAGCTCGTTTAACATTTCTTGCCTCTCCGTCACTCCTACACTTACCTCCTTATACTCATTTGTTACTTTGTTCAGCTCGTCCTGCAGAGCACCATATTCACGTACCAGCGGTTCAAATTGTTCATTAAGAATATTTTCTCTGGCAGCTATTTTGTCCATTGCTGAATTTATATTACTATACACTTTACTTAACTGTGTACTAGTTGATTTAAACCTGTCGAATAGTTCATCTCTATAAGTTTTCATTTGAGTGTGTCTCGCTCGCCAATCTCTAGCATCACTAGTCACTTTCAGCCGGAGCGCTGGCGCAACTCTCTCTAATTCCAATTTCCATGCCTCCCAATCGTGTGCTGCGTTGGTGAAATTACTGGACTTCTTTTCTTCGCCATCAGAAAATTCACCTTCAGAATCTTCAGAGTATATCGCCATTTCTTCTTCTACTTTATCTAAAGTGATTTCAGTCTCATCTTCTACTTGATCCACGTCATCAGCCGCTTCCTCTGCGTCAGGAATATCGACTATTGGCTTTTGCCACTCAAAATTTTCATTCTTGAGAGCCTCGTCAGCTAGAACGTTTAAAATGTAACTAACTTGTTCACCATAGCCTTGTTTCAGTTTATGCGAAGAAAAGTCAACGGCTATGTCCTTCTCTCTTAAAATATCTACTATTGTAGCTATGATAGTATTGGGGTCGTCTTCTTCATTTGGTTGTTCGAAGGCTTTACCAGATTTTCGTATCAGCCATGCTGCTGTAGAAGCGAACACAAAGAATTGCTCCCCCGGATTAGTTGATATGACAAAATAATACCGACTCATAGGTTTCATTTTGATTAGTGGTCGCAGTTCAGTATCAATCTTTAGAAGACGTAACTTGTCCATAATATTAAGATCCATTGCGTTCAAATATTAAACAAATCACCTTCAGTGAAAACTTTAAATAAGTACTTTGTTTGTGTCCATGATGTTGCTTGGCAACGAAATCCTTGTGTTGTCAAGGCAATTAGTCAAATAGACTACGATATCTTGTTAACTGGTGTTAAGTATGTGATTGTAAAGTAGCATTTCTTTCATTGAACAGTTCTATCTAGAAAAAAATAACTAATCTTGACTAGCTGCAAGAAGTTTTACACACTCGTGTCGAAATACTGGTAATTAAGATGTAAATAATGTTGGGATTGATACAAAAAATTGTACATGAAACCTTCCCACTGGACGTTAGATAGAGCACGTTGCCAAGAATTACGTTTTAAAATTCCGCCCTTGAAGTCGATTAATTTCATCTACGTACGTGCCATTTCATATTGACAGTTTTACACGACGACTGGTAAATGGAAGATAGAAGATGAGAATTAATAAATTTCACAACAATAAATTAATTAGATGCTCGAAAGTTTTTTCTCAACTCTTAAACTAGAATAGTTATAAATAAACTCTAAACATAAATTAAGAAATAATATTAATTGCGTACGATAATTTCCTTATCTCTAAGTTATGACTTCCCTGTATAAGTTTATTAATATAAGTTAATACAATATATCATATACATATATATACAATTTCGCTATTGATATTTTATTCCGACATTGTAGAGAATCTGAGCTTGGCAATCTATCGAGAGTTGGACCTCAATCGAAGACAGATGACAATCAAGGATTAGAGCTATGCTTAACGTCACGTGTATATTGACACCGTGTTACATAAAAGGCAGGTGGATAAAATTAAAATACGTCATAACGAATTCACCTCGCGCGGTCGAAGACTTATCTATACAAGGCGGAAGGTTAGGTTCTGACTAATACCCCTCGTTACAATGTCGTTAGTTTTGTCAATCGTTTAAAACATTATGATGTAATTATTGGTAATTAATTCGTGGGTTTATTGAAGTATGCTGGTACCCGCTTCCGTTGCGCAATGGTTAAGCGCATTGCGTTAAGCGTGAGCAGTCTTGGTTTTAAACCCCCCATACCTAATACATTTCGACGCGGAGGACCCAAATGTCTGATGAACTACTGTGAAACAGTATAGCCCCCCATTTTAGGCCCCGTTTGCCCCATGGCTGTACAAGGAAAACGGGCTCCAACACTTTTCATTGAAGTACAAATTTCAATGGCTGGCTTAAGTAAAAAATATATAAAAGTTTGTTAAGTAATGAATTACCAATACACAAAATTTATTAGTCTTTTGGTAAGGCGTGTCTACTCTCCTAAAATTATAGACACCCTTTCGAGCTCCCTTTGAGCTTGAGATAGTTAGACGTTTTTTATAATTAAGAACTAAAAAATGTTAAATACTGTCTATAGTTTACGCGAGTAGTACATTTAAATAAACCTTTTAAATATACTACCAATAAATAAACGGTTTAAAACGCGATATATTAGTTAAACTTATTTAAAAATGATTTTAAACTTCGGCCCGACGTTAAAAACGACGCCGTAAAAAATGTTGCCCGTTTTTCCGGTCCGTAAGTCTCGGGCGCCCAGCGACACTCGGTCGCGTCTGTGACTTACCTTGTCGAGTCGCGTCGATTTTATTTTTGTGCATTGTCGTTACGGAAAATAACAAATATTACACGCATGATATATTCCAGTGCGAGTAATTTCATGAATAATCGCTGATTTCGATGAACTTGGAAGGTCTTACTGCAACCTTTGCATATTTCGTTTTTATTTGGAATTTAGCGTGTAGCTGAAGGTTACTTTTGCTTAACAGACAAACATATAACTAGGAAAATGTTTGTATTACCTTAATTTATATGTTAAACGAATATCACTCACTAACAAGAAGAAAACAAATTAGGTACATTCTTAAACCTAGCTTTTAGAGAAATGCGAAAATAAATTATAATATATTAATTCTGAACAGTTCGAAATTTAGTACTCGCTACCATCAAAAAGGCTATCCGGTCGATTTCAGCTAGAAAACAAACAAAAAAACATTAACGTTCCTCAATAAAGAACGACTTTATCTCGTATTACTGGCGCGATAAAATTAGATTCGCTGACGAGCGCCTGCGCAGTCAGTCAGTCACGCTTGGCGCTCGCGACGCGACGGCGGAGCGCGAAAACTGAATTCAAAAAAGGAATTTCCATCGGATTTTATTTTTATTTTACGTCGTGTGTTAAGAAACTTTTTTTGTGCCAGTGTTTGAATATCGGTGCATTTTGTGGTTCAAGAGACATTTAATCTGTGTGCACTGTGTAATATGCAATAAGGTTGCAGAAGGTAACTGTACATATAAGGTTTGAAAGTTGAATTTTTCTGATGAACATTCGGGTTATGTGAGGTCGGCTTTTAAAAGCTCTCTATTTACGTCGTGCTTGTGACAGCGGGTTATTGGGTTAAGACCATGTGAGTACAGAGTTGAACCGTTATGTTCTGACCCACATCCGTTACTTAAAATATTATTTCTTTTAATACCTGACAATATATACAGGTCGTAGTAAGTACATTGCAGTGTTAAATAAGTTATTTAATCCTTTTTTTTTCAATCTACAAAATTAACAAAATACATTTTCTTAACCAACATTTTTTTGTTTACGATTCCAAAGTAATGAAAGACCCGTATTACTTTTATCACGAAAACGATTAATTTCAGTCTTGTAATTAACTGATACGAATATCTTTATTGTTTTGTTATGTGTAGGTAAGTAATGCAATCCGTTTATTTCCTCAAATAAAAGCGACAATATTGTTATTTTACAAAATAAGTAATTTGTCGTTATTTACCATCGGGAGGTATTTTGTGCAAGGGGAGTGCACCAGTGACAAAGGCAGCTGCAGAGTATCCGAAACGTCGGGCTGTAGTTAATTTAAATAAAAAATAAGTTAATTAACATATTTCTCGTTTTTTAAAACTGATTTGAAACCTGTTGGATCCGGTGGCAAGTGGCCCGCCACCAAAAAATATGTGCCACTGCATGACGAAGTTAGTCGTTGTTATAAATTGTTTATAATATTTCTGTTGTGTAAACGGATATACAATGGACATAAATTCCTTAGCGCTTTCATATAGCACAAGGTTACAACATGCTCCACCGTGCATGCATGTTTTGTGTGTTTGCAATGGATCGAAAACAATCAAAACGAAGGTTGAAAGAAAAGACGATCTCTGTAAGCTATATAAACAAAAGACGAAAAGAGAAAATATATGAGTATTGTCGCACACATCTATACTAATATGTAAAGCTAAAGAGTTTGTGTGAGCGCGCTAACCTCAGGAACTACTGGTCCGAATTGTGTTGGTTAGAACATTTATCAAGGAAGGCTAACCTTACACTGGCTAATAGGAGCGAAGAAATAGCGGGAAATGTGGAAAAACAAGGGGAATTATTAACCTGTGTGGATTTTCGATGAGTACGCCGCGAAAAAGGTTTAAGATACCCAAAAGGTATGGCATGAAAGAATAATTCCTCTTTAAATTATCTAAAAAAATGTCGACGACACTACATATCTATCTTTTAAGAAAAAATTGCAAGAACGACGGGACGCGACCGACGTCGTGGCTAACAGCTTATTTTTATAAATATGGAGAAGAGGTTTGCAAAAACAAATTTGGATGCTCAAAATAACTATTCTACGCGACCGAAGTCGGTAACACAGCTGGTATTATATAAAACACTTATAACGGAGGCCCAACTACACTACTAATCAATCTATAATGACATTTTACATTAAGACCGAAAAAGCAGTTATATGTTGCACGTGCAGTAAAGATTAGACTTAAAGTAATAAATAGTTTTAAATCTAATCTACACTACACGTAAAATTGAGACGTAGAAAATGTTTTGAGGCTATGAGATCAAAATATTTGATTGTAAGTTTCATAGACTAGAACAAATAGAATGATAATACCAGTTAGGTTACTCACAGCCATGTCGACCAATTTTGTGGATTTTCGATTGTCCTGAACCGAAAAGCGATTAAAGTTCACGGCTCTTTCATCTGTGGACTGTGTGAACCTGGACGGAATTTCGATATTACTACCTATTTAATATCCAGATTTCCATATGAAGTCTAACATATTTCAGAAAAATTATAAAAGCTGGACCCGATTGATCACGACCCGTTGATTATTACTATCACTGCTACTACACCAACTAGCCCGTCGAAAATTGTAACATAACTAATGGCTATGACAAAACAACCGTGAAACACATTGTTGATTTGTTGCGGTTATAATATCATGTAACAGTTATACTAAGTGTCAAATAAACCTAATTAAGAAATCTAATAGCTTGGAAAGACACTACAAACGTTGTGGAGTTTTATAAATGTTATTATAATGGAAAAACCGCAGCCGAATTAATTTTTTTTTTTACACTTAGAGATAAATATTTCTTAATATTTGCGACTTTTTGCATTCCAAATTGTAGTGACAACCATGTAGTTTTAAAGTTAGTAGATTTTACATCATACATACATGTATGACATTAAAATTTAAGCTACTCCAAGCTACTGAGCTCAAATTTAAAACGTCTCTGTTCGAGAAGAAAAATATTATTCGATTCAAGTCAGGTTTTCGTCAAGTATTCAAACAATGTTGGACTCATGCACTCAGCAGCGAACTATTGATCAAATGACGAACGGGAGAAGAACAACCTATATCACAATAACTTCGGATTGTGTTTATAATATATTACCTGTGCCGGTGCCTTCGTCCGCGAAAATCGTTAATTTGGGCATCCAAATTAGGTTTTGCAAACCCCGTCATCTTTATAAACTTAAGCCACGACGTCCCTTACTTCGTTCTTGCAAGCTTATCCTAAAAGATAGAGATATAGCGTCGCGGACGTTTTATAACATTTAAAGGGTAATAATTCTTTCATACATATTTTTTAGGTATCTTGAACTGTTTTCGCAGCGTACGCATCTGAAACCTTCAGAGATGAACAATTTCCCCCCTTTTGTTCACATTTCCCGCTGTATCTTCGCGTCTATTAGTCGCAGCGCGAGTTATAGCCCATAGCCTTCCTCAATAAATGCTCCAACCAACACAAAAATAATTTTTCAATTTGAACCCGTAGTTCCTGAGATTACCGCGTTCAAACAAACAAACAAACTCTTCAACTTTATATATTAGTATAGATATAGATTATTATACGAGTTAATCTTAAAAGATAGACATATACTGGCGCGGATGATATTTTGGATTCTCGTTTTATATTAGCCTTTCTCGATAAATGTTTCAACCAACCAAAATAATTTTTCAGTTTGAATCAGTAGTTCAAACAAACTAACTCTTCAACTTTATAATATTAGTATTTTAAATTAAATGACAGGTAGGTAGGTAAAAAGTAAATTAAGGCCTTTAGGAGATCACAGTCCCAGCTGTGGTAACAATCAAAGGATCGGTTTTCAGGAAAGTTTTTTATAAATGGAGTCGGTTGTAAATTTAACCGCGTTGAACATTTGAAAACTTTAATATTTATATATTTATAATTGCACATTTTAGGACTATATAAATAAAAAATATATATAATAAGAATAGCACGGAACGCTGTGGATGCCGGTTCAAGTTCGTGTCGTAAATTTTTTCAATCTAAAACGATTTTTAATTTATAACGAATATATCTACTGCTTAAATAAAACACTTTAACGGTTTAAAACGCAATATATATTAGTTATTTGAAAATTATGTTATATAATATATGTATATCGCGTTTTTAAAAACGCTTTTACGGTTAACCGTTTAATTTAAAGCGTTTTATTTAAATGTGTACTACACGCATAAACTACAGACAGCATTTCATATCTACTGTGCTAAGTAGAAGTTATAAGACGAATGCAACCTTACTGAAAAGAAGTAAGAACACAATGCGCAGGCTGTGAGGAGGTTTATCGCAACCCGTTTCGAAAGCAGGGTTCACTGACCGCACTCTATTCAGCCGGTTTTGACATTGAGGTTTTGAGCTCATGTAGAACATTCTCAATTCACATGTTGAAGTGACATTTTGTTAACATTACACATACGCCGTTTATACCTTGTCTAATGTATGATGATAAGATGCATGCCTATAATCTTCCGTACTCGCCATTTTAAAAACGGATTTTGTAATGGCGTCTTAGACATAACTTGTCCCTTGCCAAATCGATGGTACATAAAAGAAATGTAGCTACTTAAATATAATAAATATTCAACAAATGTTGTAAATTTGTTATTTTCCTTATTATTAGATACTTATTGCACATTCAAAAATACCTAAATAGCGTTAATTTTAAATTCGGTATTTTTTTGTTTTATGATAGAGGCGGACAAACAAGCCCCACCATATAACATCCCAAAACGATGGGCTGTCGATTTGGATGTTCGGAAATCCACAGACCTGAAACCGAAACGCGATTAAACTTTACGATTTTTTTATGGGGACGGTGTTTCGTGACGCGGACGAAATTTCGATATTTTTACCACACTAAAGTCCAAATATCAGGCAAAGTCCTAAACGTTTGAGAAAAATTATTAGAAACATGTTAGACCTGGGGGACAAACACGACCCACGACCCTTTGATTATTAACCATGTGTTGCTACTATTAGACCAACCCGTCAACAATATAAAACAACAATCAACGCAAATGATTACATATACATCACTACTGTATCATGAAAATTATCATCCTATGTTAGACAAGGTATAGTATGTTCGGAACAATGCCTTTCGGGTGTTCGCGCGAAATGTCAAATTGGAGCTTTCGCTTCGGCTTTTAGCGTAAGGCTTTACGTGTTTACATTTCACTCGCATAGAGCTTATGTTTTGTAGTACATATAGCTCAACCCAAATGTTTTTATTTGTTGATATTTTCTCCTTGAATTCGTGAAAAACCGCCCAAATTATTTTATACAACGCTACTCGTCATTACAAATAACACTGAATATTTAATATTCACTTTTAATTGTTTAAAACGTGAAATATACTGGTTAAACTACGACAAAATCGCTCTATATTATATAATTTTCATACAAGTATAACTAATTAAGTTTCGAATTAATTTATCTCGCGTTTGTTTTATTTAAATGCTTAAATATTTAAATTACTTATCGCCAAAACTACAGACAGTGTTTAACTGATTTTTATTTAATTAATTATTTTATTTACGACATTTTGGATGTATGCAGCAATCTTGACAGGGGGTCGGATGTTAAAACCGCTAAAAGTCATTTTACTTAAATGTGTACTATTCGTAAAACAATACAATATTATATTATTTTATTATATATATACATCTT